TGGGAAGGGATGGGAAGGGTAAACAAAGGAGGAGGCTGCAATGCTTGGTAAGAAATGTACGCATTATCCTGCCCATGCAATTGTAACCCCTCTGTACAGTTTGTTCACAAATAAAATTAAATTAAATTAAAAAAAAAAAGAAATGCCCAAAACTTGTTGCATAGACATTTCAACCTTTAAGATCTACTGTATTATATGTTTTTCAGTCAAGCTTACTTTATCATGTTCTTTGTAGAAAAAGTTTCTTTTGCAGAAAAAGTTTAAACTGATAAATCTTTATTATATATGTAGACTACTGCCTAGGTTCATATTATTTTGTTATTACAGGAATGATTTAAATAACTCATTTTGGAAACATATATAGTGACTTACCAGAAATGTAGATGACCTTTTGATCACTTCTTTGACCAAGGGAGTTGGTTACTTGGCATACATAAACACCAGTATAATTATAATTCAGTGGGTAGACAAAATGAAGAGTATTGTCTGAAGCCAATAAACCATCAGGCCATTGTCCATCCAACCTTGATTTTAGAAGCACACAAATTAAACAATCTTTATTATTAATTATTATTTAAAATAAGAGAATCACTTTGGAGATTTTAGTAAAATAGCAGTATCTTGAGATATAATTAACTATGAACTGAAAACACTTTCATTTTATGAAACTATTAAAATCTACTAGGTAGGGGCTGGGAAGGTGGCTCAGTGGTAGAGTGCTTGCCTTGCATGCATGAAGCCCTGGGTTCAATTCCTCAGCACCACAGAAGCAGAAAAAGCCAGAAGTGGCTCTGTGGCTCAAGTGGTAGAGTGCTAGCCTTGAGCTGAAGAGCTGAGGGACAGCACCCAGGTCCAGGCCCAGAGTTCAGGCCCACGACCGACAAAAAAAACAACAACAACAACAACAACCACAAAAAATCTACTAGGTATACCCATTCTTTCCAAATCTTAATTTGTAAGTATAGATAGGCCAACATAATAGAATGGGAGGGAAGTAGAGAAAAATTTTTTATTTAAAAAATTATATTCATGGTGGATACCAGTGGCCCACAGCTGACATTCTAGCACTCGGAGGCTAAGATCTCAGGATCAATGGTTAGAAGTCAGCTCAGAGTAAGGAAGTCTATGTAAGAATCTATCTCTAATTAACAACCAAAATGCTGGAAGTAGAATTTCAGCTCAGCCTTGAACAAAACAAGGACAGAGCCTGGACCTTGAGTTGAAGCCTCAGTAATAGCATCAAAAGATAAATTAATAAATAAAATTATACTAGGGTTATTGGAAATTATAAAAATTACTTGATGACATACAGTATTAAAATTCTCAGTGAATTATGAACATACAAATGGTTTATAGCTTCCATTTTCTTAGTGAAGTCATGTAATTTAATAGTTTGGCATCTTTTAAAGAGCATCACTTAATACTAATTTAAATCTATATTATGCCCCATCCCAAGACAGTTTCTAAAGTATCAAGAAAAAATCTACTGGATGGTAGGGGGAAAACACTGGAGGGGGTAACAATGCTCAATAGGAAGTGTACTCATTACCTTGCTCATGTAACCGTAACCCTCTGTATAGTATCTTTACAATAAAAAAATATTTTTTTAAAAATGTATTCATTACCTGACTTATATAGCTGTAACCCCTCTGTACATCACTTTTACAATAAAAGTTACAATAAAAAAGAGAAAAAAAAGAAAAAATATATTTATAAAATAATTTTATTTGTACTATCACAAAAATCAAAGCACAATTTAATGTAACTTTCTAACAGTGTTTGTGGTAATTTGGCTAAAAGTCTCTCAGTCTAGTACATACACTGATGTAACCCACTGTAAAAACTGTGGTTCAAAGAACAGAGAAATTTAGAGTTTGACATAAACAAGAGACTGGAAATAAGAGATTAGTTGAAGTTACAAAATCAAACAAAAACCAACATACTTCTTCCAACTCTGTTTAGATACTAGATTTTTATTTCTTAGGAAAAAAAAGAAACTGAATTTGTTGTGAAGAATAATTTCCTATCTTTGTGGGGTGAAATCTAGGACTTCTCTGAAATTAACCACTTGTCTACATGATTATTCCAAGTAGAAAATAATAAACAATCCATACTATCAAGTTTCCAAAAGCATTTGTTAATAATGCCTTACTATAAAATAACTATAAAACCAAGAAGAATAAGGAATAGTAACAAAATCAAAGACTACACCAAAAAACAAAACTGGAGTAAAAAGAAATAATTGGGAAACAAGAAAGTTAGCTTTTCATTGCTGTCATCAAATACCCTAGAGAAATAGTTTCATAGGAAAAAAGAATTTAACTGGGCTCAAAATTTCAGAAGTTTCAATCTGTTATGGCAGGCAGGGCATGGTGAAGCAGGACAGTTCGTATTATGAGGCCAGGAAGCAGAGACAGAATAACTGTATTACCTGGCATTCTCTTTCTTCTTCCTTTTATTCCATAAGGGTCCCAACCTATGGGATGGTGCCACCTTCATCTAGTCAATCAATCCTCTCTGAAAAGGCCCTCTCAGATAAACCCAGAAGTATCCTCCCCAGGACTTCTCAATCTAACCAAGGTGGCAATCAAGACTAACCATCAAAGGTGGAAATTAGTATCTCTTGGAAGAAACAAGTACATCTACAAAAAATAAAAAATGATGCTACAATAATGGCTAAGAAATGAAAAAATATTATTAGAAAATATAAGTATGCTAATTTTCTTTTAAATCATCAAGTCAATAGAAAATATTCTAAAAAATATATAGGTGTGTGTGTGAAAACCAAGAAATTTATGCAATGCATTTGTGCAATAAACAGAAAAAAGGCAAAACAACAAAATAAAATACAGAAAATTATCAAAGTTGACAGATACAAGTTTCAAGACTGAAACAGGCCTCAAATACTGACAATATTAATGAAAACTTTAGTGTAACAGTTTGAAAATTTAAAAGTAAAGAACTAAGGAGACTCAGAAGGGAAGCTACATACTAAAAGGAGGCAATCAGTAGCCATAAGGAAAGCAAATATAGCTGCAGAACTACTTAGCTCTTGGTAAATAATATATTTACCTGCCACAGGGAAGTGAACACTAATTACAGAGCTTAACTAAAAGTAACTTAATCTTATTCAGACAATGAAGGATAGGAGGTATATAATGACTGTGGGTAAAGAAATAGACATAAAATTAACATTTTTTAAAATAATTAACTCATGAAAAAGTAAACAGTGTTAACAACTGATGAAGAGCAAGTAGCAGTGTAATAGTATCTGGGATGATACCTACCAGAAAAAAATCATCAAAATCACTAACATAGACACTTCTAAGAAACACAGCTGAGGAGGTAGGAAAGTCAGAAAGGGTGGAGCAGAGCATTTATGAAACTATTCATTTAAATTCTTTAGCTATTACTATAATCATGCAGTATAGCAATAAAAACAGTCTTAAATAGGCTTTTAAAAATACACTGGTAACTGTTTCTTTTAAGTAAAACATTACCTGCTCCACACAGATTTGAAGGGTGGTGGATTTGCATCAGCATTACATTTGAGGTTTACACCTTTTCTTCCTACAAACCAATTTCCATCATATCCTGTTACTGAAACTTCAGGAGCATCTACAAAATCAACAAACAGCAGGAAAAAAAAGTCATCTTTTATTAAGGATAAAAGTTATATTCAATTTAAGATAATGCTAAGTGAAATTAAGCCCAAGACATGGAAACATGAGGTTTTCTTTTGTTGTTGTTTTTAATGTACTATGTGATTTCTTCTGTCTTTTGTGCTTTTTTTTTCTTTTTCCTATTGTTTATTCCCTGTTGTCACTGTATTTGATTTTAGTACCCTACGTATTGTATCAATGTTTATCTGAAATAGGGAAGGGAAGGGGAATGACAAAATGGTGAGACAAAGGACAAATGGTGAACCAATGCAACAGTGATATTCATAAGACAATACATTGGAAATGAACTGTACAACTTGGGGAGGGCATTGGAGGAAGGCAAAGTGGGAGAGAAATGAGGGAGGGAGTAACAAGTTCAACAAAAATGTACTCCCTACTTTAGATATGTAACTGTAACCCCTTTGTACATCATCTTGACAATAATTTTTTAAGTGATATTCAAAGCACAGCAGAATAAAGATTTGGCCACATCTAAGCTTTAAAAAAACATGTTAAATTTTTTACTCAACATATTTAATCAACGTGGAAGACAGCACTCAATAAAAGTACAACTACCTCACTAAAGGAATAAACAAATGAATTAATAAACTCATATTATTCCAGCTACGAGGAATACAGAATGTAAGAATAATCATAAACATGTAATTACTAAAAGCAGAACATAAGTCCTATTTTAGAAGATTTGAGACACAGAACAAAACATATAGCTCACAATTAAATAAGACATGTACTGTAGTATACATTGTGCCAAATAACTATATAAAACTGTCCTAAAAAAGATGTTCTGCAGGGTACCAATGGCTAACACATGCAATCTTAGCCATTAAGGAGACAGAAATCTGGAGAGTTCATGCAGTTAATTTCCACCTGCAAACTACCTAGCAAAAACAGGGTTGGAGGCATGGGTCAGGTGGTAAGAATGCTACATGAGCAAGTAAGCCAAGTAATCCCAAGGTTTAACAAATTAATAAAAGATGTTCACTCTAAAAGGAAATATTCTGTAAGAAACATGATGTCAATCAAAGGAGATTCCCTATATTACAGTATTCTATGGGCATTAGAGATATGACACTGAGACTACACACAAGTGCAGAAAATTAACTAGGGCTTCAACAGTACCAAAACATAAACATTACCCACTCAGCACACCATAGGTCTTTTTTTATATATATACTATATATAAATAAGCAATTATTCATATCTACCTGCAAAATACAGGTAGCCTATAAACTATAAACTCAAACATCTAACATTTACTAAACCATCATTTTATTATCTCCTTATAATAAATGCCAGGCACTGTTTCAGTTGTTTAAATATTAACTTTGAAAAAAAAGAAAAAAAATTATATTCACGAAACTTACATTCTAATAATGATAAAGAGAATGATATTTAAAAATATTAGCCAAAATCCACTAGGAGGACCAAGGGAGAGCAGAATACTAAGCCAGAGCTAACAGCTAGTGTAGGTTCAGGTGAGGATGGTAGAGATCATGAAAGCTTCCTTAAGTAAGTATTTCTTATACGTAGTGCAGAGACCTTCCAATTTTCTGTGAGCTACACAGAAAACCAAGTCACAGCAAAGGGAGAGAGGACGATAGGAAGAACAAGGTCAACTTTTACCTGTGTTAGACGTGTGTCAGAACAATTTAAACTACTAAAAAACATTTTACTAAAAAATTAGAAAAGATTAAACTTAAAAGTTAACTATAAAGAACCTGCCTCATAAATACTAAGAATTAACAAATGCCTTTTTAATACAAAATTATTATTAAAAATGATCCATGTCTCTTTGCGCTTAATCTCTCTTTAGGGATAAAGGTTAGACATTAACATATCCTCCAAATTTTAGAGTTTTTTAATTTTTTTTCAAATGTTTTATACTTTTCCTATTTAAAAAAAGACAAAAACATGACTATTATTAATATTTTATTTTTTGGCCTGGGACTAGGATTCACACTCAGTGCCTAACACTTTTACTCACTGGCTAGCACTCCACCAACAAAGCCATGACTCCAACCCCTTAATATTTTAGAAGCAAACTAGTAAGAAAATATTCTAATTATAAAACTTTACACATTAAGAGAAATACTTTTGTATTTGTGAAACTGCATTCAAGCAATTTTAAAAGTCAATACTGAAAAACTGATGAAATTCACTCATTCTTAGACACATAAGGAAACACACATATGAGAAACAAAGGTATGTATCATTGGAATCTGAATGTTTAAAAAAAAAAGTAAAAGTCTGGGAAGGCAAGGAGGAAACTGACAAAACTGTACACTACAATCAAATGAGGAGAAAAGATGAGATCACTTAAGAATGTAATGGTATAGTATCATAGTGGTGAAATTATGTAGTGAAAGAAAACCAACTTTACAACTTGTGGGGGGGAGGGAGGAGTCGGGGAGGTGGGAAGGGAAGGATGGTAGGAGAAAAACAAAGGAGGTAACAATGCTCAATAGGAAATATACTCATTACCTTACTCATGCAACTGTAACCCCTCTGTATTTTTACAATAAAAAATATACAAAAGAGAAAGAAAAGAAAAGCAAATAAAAAAACAGCCATGAGGGAAAAGTAGGAAAATTAGGGTCTAAGGTCTGCCTTATGAAAAATGTTATCCAAAAGATAACTAACCTAGCACCAAAAAGGTCTGAGGCTATAGCTCAAATGGTAGAGCAATACTTTCTTAAGCAAGTATAAGACCATGAGTTCAAACTACTGTGCTCTAGAAATTATATATCCATACTTTTCAAGCTTAACCTTGTTAAGTGCTGAAAATAATCCTCATGTAATATCAACGTATAATTAAAAATCATACATGGAATAGAAAAAAATAGTGAAAACAAAGCAATTGCTTCAAAAAAATATAGCCAGAGATGATGCTTTCACACAGACAATCCAATAATGTTTACCTCTTGTGTAGCTGGAATGACAGAATTGCCTGGCTTTTTGGTTCATATGAGCTCTCAGGAGGTTTTTGAATGGGCTGGCTGTGAATCAGATCCTCCCCAACTCTATTTCCCAAGTAAATGAGATTAGAGTGAGGCAGAGACACCACACCCAGTTTAGTCTGCCCAATCTTTCTCCTTCTGCATTCCCTTCCCTGTTCTTCCTTCTTTACTTCCCTCCCTTCCCCTCTCTTCCATCCTCCCTCCTTGCATTGAGGTTTGAACTCAGTTTGGCTTGCTCTCTTTGATATGCTGTTCCATGCTAATCCCACCATTATTTTTGCTGTTTATTTGGGAAATTGAGTATTACACATTTTTCTGCCCAAGCTGGCTTCAAACCATGATCCTTGTGATTATAGGCCATATTTTACTAGTACCCAGCTAAATCTGCACAAACTTACTTTGCTATAAAATATAAGCAACCATCAACCTAGTTATTACTCAAAAATAAAAGTAAAAATATCAGAATGTACCAAAGACTGAGTAACTTTATTGAACAGGACAGAGGAGATACACATGAAAATATAATCATATGTTTAGGGCAGGATCCACTGTCAAAGTAGATCTAGCTTTGAACTTTATCTACAATTGACTTTATCCTAATGATGTCTTAAAAGTATTGTTTTACTTATATAAGAGTTATACAATCTTATTTATAACACCAGATTCGAAATAAGACTGAAGAGAGATTTTCAAATTAGGTAAAATATATCTAGGGAAATAAAACATGGGTAAAGAAAATAAAAATGAAAAACGGCAAAATTAGAAAGATTGGAGCTACTTGTTTCTAAGTATTATACATCCAGCCCTTCACATTCAGGAATAAAAATTAGACCTTTAACCTTGCTAGGCAAATGTTTTCCATGTAAAGTGTGCTTTTACCCACTCCCCTCCCTCCATTATACCCTTTTAAAATTAGGTTATTTTTCCGCTAAGGTCTTGTGGTTTTTGTCTAAGATCAGCCTAAGTTTGTAATCCTCCTACAGCTAGGATTACAGGAATGAATAACTCACTATGTCTAAAGTGTTTACAGAGCCTTGCTAAATTTTTGTCCAGGATGTCCTCAAAACAAGATCCTCCCAATCTCTTTTTCTCAAAAGCTAAAATGATAGGCTTGAGCTTATTAATGCATCTGGCTCTACGTGTTCCAAATTTTAAGGCACAAATTTTCACATCTCCTTTCAGTCTACAGTATTTAAAGGGCAATTAAAATATTTTTAAGTTGAAGGGCAAATTTACTGTTTAAAAAAATGCTCTAATTAGATCAAATTTCTATGAAAATATGAACAAAAATAAAGACAAAAAAGCAAAAAAAAGCTATAGGGTTTATCAAACCAAAAATAGTTTGATAAAGATATATTTCAAAAGATGAAATATGAAATAAAATACATCACAAATTGAAAAGTAAATTACTTACACTGTATATCTAGTATGAAAGAATATCGGATGTCCTTTTCCAAGGCTGGATGTTTTACAACACAAGTAATTCGTCTTCCTCTAGCAAATCTGGTTGGGAACAGCTTGTACTGGCTGACAATTGTTGCTGTTTCATTTGGAAAAGTAGTTGTAGTAGATTCCATTTCACCAAGATCACCTTCCCATTCAATGTGTGCAACTGGTTTTCCTGTGGCTGCTATACAAATGGCTGCTACTGTTTCATTTCCTCCATCAATTAAAGAATCTGGCCCTTTTATCAGGCTCACAGTAGGTTCAACTGTTTAAATAAAAAAGTTATATCTCAATTAAGAAAATACGTAAAGTCACACAGTCATATCTAGACGTATTTCATAAGCTTAGGGACACTTGCATATAATATCTACCCACACATTTTTTAGGTAATGCCAACTTCATTCAATGCCAACATCAACTTCATTCTTCGAACAACAGAAACATTTAGTTAGGACAAAAACAAGGTCAAAATTTTATATTATCACTACGATGGTTTTCTTTGACACAGATATACATTACATTATGGGGTCAGTTGAGCTCTCTCCGAATTAGTATATGTAAAAATGTCACCTTGACCACAATGGCCTTTGAGGTTAAGGATGTTATTCTTGAAGAAAAAAAAAAAAAAAAACTAGTTCAAATATATAGCATTTCATTTTGTAGCAAAAAAATGTAAAGCAAACACTTTTAATTATACTAACAATTGTGCAGTCTTCTTGATTTAAAATAGTTGTCAATTGTTTCCTATTTTAAGATTAATATTCTCCCTATAGGCTTTATCTTTGTAAGATATTGGTGTAAAATAACAAAAAAATGTGAAACACATGTAAAAAATTTATTTTAAATTTTTAATGTTAGGTTCTTTTTTTACTATTATCATTAACTAGTTGTACAAACATGTTTCGCTTGGTTTCGCTTGGATATGTCAATTTATTAGTACAATGTGTCTTGATCAACGATACCCCTTCCTTCATTCTCCTCCACATCTATCCCAAATCCACTAATTTCAAGTCACCAGGTTCCATTTTCACATATGTATATTGACTGTATTTGTCCACCATTTCTGTCTCCTTTTGTCTATACCGCCTCTTCCCCTTGACCTCCATCCCTGCTGACATTACATATTTCAACTTACTGGTAAGTTAAGACTGTAAATTAGTTGTTCAAAGGAGTTACACTATTGGAATCCCCCCTCCTCTACCTATACTGTATCCTATTTACTTGTGTTTATGTATATATGGCTATATGTGTATATGTATATATATATATATATATTCATATTTTACAATTTAGATCTAACATCTATATATGAGGGAAAATATATGCTGTCTCCCTGAGCTAGAAATCACAAAGTAGTTTTTCCTAGTCCATCCATTTCTCTGCAAATGACATATTATTTTTCCTGATGAATAAAATTCCATTGTATATATATATTACGTTTTCTTTATTTACTCATCTACTGTAAGCCATCTAAGCTGTTTCCATCATATGGTTATGGTGAACATATGTGTGCAAATTATCCTGACTTACCTTTTGAATAAATGGACAAGAATTACTGGATCATAAAGCAGTTACATGTTTACTTTTTAAGGAATTTCTAAACTTCATTCCATAGCAGTTGCATTAAGTCCCCATATCCTGTCCAGTATTTGCGATATAATGAATAATTATATAACATTTATGTAACTACACCACACATCATAACAAATAACAGCAACATTTTGAAATCCTTCAAGCCTTTTCTTGATCATCTCTTCTTTCAATAGGAGACCATTATATTCAAAATAATCTGTGTGCGTGCGTGCGTGCGTGTGTGTGTGTGTGTAGATACTGAAGCTTAGACACAAGCCTGGGAACTTTCTTTGAACTTTTTTGCTCAAGGATAGTGCTCAAGTGGTGGTGAACTAGAGGTAAGAGTCTTATATACTTTTTTCTCCAGATAGGCTTCCAACTATGATTCTCAGATCTCAGCCTCTTCAATAATAGCTAGGATTACAGGAATGAGCTACTAGGGGAGTGCCAAATTTGGTGAATTTTTTGTTTTGGGTTTTTTTTTTTTGGTGTCAGTAATGAGGCTTTTAACTCCTGACCTGGGCACAGTCGTTGTGTCTTTTCCTCAAGGCTAGTATTCTACTACCTGAATCACAGCTCCATGTGCAGCTTTTTGTGCTTACTTGGAGATAAGAATCTCATAGCCAGGCGCCTGTGGCTCACGCCTGTAATCCTAGCTACTCAGGAGGCTGAGATCTGAGGATCGCAGTTCAAAGCCAGCCTGGGCAGGAAAGTCCATGAAATTCTTCTCTCCAATAAACCACCAGAAAACCAGAAGTGGCACTGTATCTCAAGTGGTAGAGCACTAGCCTTGAGCTGAAGAGCTGAGGGACAGTGCTCAGGCCCAGAGTTCAAGCCCCATGACTGAAAAAAAAAAAAAAAAGAAAGAATCTCACGACTTTTTCTACCTAGGCTGGCTTTGAACCATGATCCTCAGAACTCAGCCTCCTGACTAGCTATGATTAAAGGTGTGAACCACCAGAGCTCAGCTGAAAATTTTATTGATTAAAAACTTATCAATCATAGCTTTATAACCAGTAAGTACAAATTTAAACAAATAATCTCATTGCATCTATTCCTGAACTTTATAATTAGATTATACCATTTGTATGGTTTTTCTCTGACTCAACTTTCTGTTCTGGGCATATTGGAGCAATTATCTTCTTTGGAATTCAATTTAACTTTGTGTTTTTAAATTACTTAGGTAAATATGGAATTGCAAAGATTATCAGTTTTAACTGCTGTACCATGTATTTACTGGTGAACACTAGGATTATTTCTTCTGTGTTTTAATCTATTTTACAAGATATATTATCTCTTGTATATGTTGGGTTTTTTTTCTTTTTTTGTACAAGTCTCTTCTTAAGTTTGTCCTTGGTATTAGAACTGTTACTACTGGGAAGCACCAGTGGCTGATGACTATAGTCCTAGCTACTCAGCAGGTTGAGATGAAGATCTCAATTAAGTCAGCCCAGGCAAGACTAAACACCAAAAGTGGCACTGTGGCTCCAAGTGGTAGAGCACTAGTCTTGACTGAAAAAGCTCAGGGAAAATGCCCAGGACCTGAGTTCAAGATCCATGACTGAAAAAACAAAAAAAGAATTGTTATTATTACATTTACTTCTATTTTTTCAAACAATGCTAAAACCTTTTCTGAAGTTATCAATTTACTCACAATCATCAGAGGATTTCTTGGATCACTACAGTCAATTCTTAGTATCTGTCAGTCCCAGGGGTAATGTAAGAACATATGGATAACATTTTATTGTTACCTCAGATTGTGAAGGAGAGTGAGAATTTATGTGTCTTAGGGTCATGTGGAATTTCTTTAGCTGAGGAATACAAATTAAAAGTAGGTGCCTGGTTTTTTTCTTATAAATATATAGTTTTATTTAATTTTGTAAAGTCTTTTTTAAAAATTATATGTATTATAAGTTTAGGTCTTATGTTTTTAGTTTTCTGATACAAGTGGAGAAGGGAATTGGGATTACTAGAGATCAAACCCAGGGCCTCTTGTGTGCTAGGCAAGTGGATGTTTTGATAAACATGTTAATTCAAATGTACTAACAGTTATCAGCTTTGTTTTGTTTTGTAGTTGCTTTATGTCTAAGAAATTCTGTACTTCTCTACTTTGAGGCCAACCACTAGTGATTTGTTTTTTATTCTCCATAGAAAATTTATAGATTATTCCAAGTGGTATAAGTACATTTTAAAATCTTTGGTAATTCCAACCACTTATATTGTCTCAGGTCTATTTTTTCCTTATTCATATAGGTTCCTGCTTACTTAGTTGTACACCTAAATATTCAAGGAGACTATTTGAATCTTTGTTTTCTTGTACCACTTGAAAACACTAAATAGGCCAAGATTTTCCACTCAGACTATGCAAGTGATATAAACCAAATCTAGAAGTCTGTATTATTTCTCACTTCTAATTAACTTTCTCACTTCTAGTTTACCACTACTTACTATTATTATAACTATTCTGAAAATAGAAGTCCTTGGGTATAATATGAATATGAGTAACTAAATACCCTATAATAAGCAATCTGTCAAAAACACCAAGCTGATCTTCTTAAATCATAACTCACTACACCTACTCTATGCCAAGTCTACCAAAAGTAAGGCATACTTCTACGTGATTGAGAAGCTAATTACAGAAGTGTTTCCAAAACTATATTGTGGATGCAAGTCAACAGATCATCTTGCTTAAACTTATTACTGTTCAAACAGTTTTGGAAAAAAAACAAAATTCAGAATTTCTAATAAAATCTCAGAATAATACTAATTCTGCTGGACGATTTTAAACACCAAGGGTCTGAGAGTAAAACAGGGAAGAAATAGTACAATCATTAGCTATTAAGTTCATATGATATCAATCTCAAATTTCCTATGCCAATATTCAATTTACTAAACTTAAAAATTCTTATACTTTATATAAATTCTTCAAAATCAAGTGTAACACTGTGCAAAGTTCTGAACAGATGATACCCATCATCCTAAAAGCCTTTCACAAGGACACCTGGCAATTACTGAGGATGGGTTAGATGCCATGGATGTCACCAAAGTCTACAATAGAAAAGACACCTTGACACAACACATAATTTTGGCCCTAAAAATTCAACAAGTGAGGATTGCTTGAATGGACATTCTGTTCTGCCTCCTGATCTGAATTCACTAACCCTCAATTCTAGAACATTTCCTGAAATCATCTTGCATCTGTGCTTACTCCAACCCTACTATCATTCATGAACTAACACAAGGATTTCTACCATGTTCACTAGGGCTCATTCCTATATTCTACTCAGAACTCTCACAGGCTTTCTGCAAAGCGATTAGTTAACTCTATTTCCCAGTAGCTGAGCAGTGGTCCTTTTCAAAGAGCATCTGGGCAGTATATATTCATGTTAGCCACAGTTGGTATTACATCTGAATTCTTACTGTATCATTCTGGAAAAGTATTCATCAACATTTTCAAATTGATTTACATTCCAGATAGTTATCTTAAAGTTTATAAGCTTATCCAATATTTCACCTTAAACTACAGCATTTATGAAAAAGCAGAAAATAATTATGAAATGTTTACACAAATCTACAAGAGTTATAAATTTGATGTGCCAAATTGAAACATGTTATTGCCCCCCCCAAAAAAAAAAGAAATGAAAAGGAAAAACTTAAGTCTAACATGAAATAATTTAAGGTTAAAAATTTGAGGGAAATTAGTAAAAATATGTCACAGCATTACTATTATAATTAAAACTCTTGTGAAAAAAATTAAGAGCAAAATTATATAACATTATATAATCAGGCAGACATAGATAAGATTGTTTATTATTGGACTTATAAACTATAAGATAGAATTCATATTTGAATTATTTAAGCCTAAAGAAAACTTTCATTTTAAATGCTAGAAAATACTTCTCCTATGATCCTCATTACCATCACCAAATATATTTCAAACACACTTACCTAACACAGTTACAGTTGTAGAAGACTGGGCATTTCCAAGTGGAAATGTAACAGCTTTACATATATATTTTCCAGAATCAGAGAATCCTATGTTATGTAGAGTAATTGTTGCATCATTTAGTGAATAGTTTTTAAACAGGACTCTTCCCTGATACTCTCCTTGAACAGAGAATCCATATTGAGGATGATGGACTGCAACAGTCTGTGTATTTTTGCCACGTATCTTCTCCCATGAAATTTGTGTTATGGTTTCATTTACTTCAATTAAACACTTCAATGAAACATTCTTTCCCCATACTGCGGTGACATGTGGCTCCACAATAATTGGTCCAGCTAAGGCACCTATGGGGAAAATACATAGTATAATTGTTAAAATGGAAACGTTATGCTACATATGGTCTCTCTTCTTCCCTTTTCTCCCCATAGGTGTAACACACACACACACACACACACACACATACACACACACACATACACACACTTCTTCCCTCCTTTCTCATAACGGAACAAAAAAGAGGATGAATGTCATCTAGGTTGGATGTGAGGTACAAAAAGTTTATGCCAAAGTATGTTGCAATGGAAAAACAAAGGAAAAAGCATTTTAGTGAAGATCGAAAGCTTAAGATCCAGCTAAGCCATGCCTAGATTCTTGACCCACAGAAATTGAGACAGTACATAGATGTTAAAAGTTACCAAGTTTTAGGCCAGGTGCCAGTGGCTCACACCTGTAATCCTAGATACTCAGGAGGCTGAGATCTGAGGATCATAGTTTAAAGCCAGCCTGGGCAAGAAAGGCTGAGCAGGAAAGGCATGAGACTCTTATCTCCAATAAACCACTAGAAAACCGGAAGTGACACTGTGGTTCAAGTGGTAGAGTGTTGGCCTTGAGCTGAAGAGCACAGGACAGCACCCAAGCCCAGAGTTCAAGCACCCCAACCAACATCAGCAACAAAAAAGATATCAAGTTTTAGGATAACTTTATATAGAAAAAGGTAACATTAATGTAATATCTTTCAAACAAATTTTAATACCATAGAAATTTCTTTGGGAATATCCCTATATTACATCCCTAAAAAAGAATTTTAAAAAAACATGAAGGACAAAGATTAACAAAATCACAGACAGAGGTGGGAGAAAAGATGGGATAAGAGAACTGTTAGGGACTACATATTTACTTCACCCCCACCCACCACACCCAAACCTTGGGTTTAAACCTTAATTTCAGTGAGAGTTTCCTTTTCTCCACACTTGACACTGGTAGCTCATGCCTGTAATTCTAGCTACTCAGGAGGCTGAGATCTGAGGATCATAGTTTGAGGCCAGACAGGGTAGGAAGGTCCTTGAGACTCTCATATCCAATAACTACCTAAAAAGGCAAAATGGAGTTGTGGTGCAAGCAGTTGAGCACTATCCTGAAGCAAAAAAGCTTAGGAACAACACCCAAGCCCCAGGCCAGGCATGGACAGGTACAGACAGGCACAAACAGGCATGGACAAATGGACAGACACACACATGTACACACATGCATGTGCACACTCGCACACATACACACACATAGAGTTTAACTGCAGAGCTTAAGGGTCATTGATGCACATAAATGTTTATTGCAAAATAACTAACGTATTTAAAGTAAGTTTATCATTTGTAAGTCTGAAATACAGCGGCTAACAAACAGTAAAGAAATGGATCTTCCATATATCCACTAAGAACTCTAACCTAGTCATGAGAGATTTCTGCTCACTATGGGAGTCAAGGAAAACCATGCTAAAATGTTTCTTTTCTGAGTCTACCTAAATTACAATTAAGTTTTATGTCATTTTTATCTAATTAATTGAGCTGCACTTATTGTTCTTTAAGAGACAGACACAGAAATACTAGCATTCCATGAAAATACTCAACCATAAAAACACAACTTTCTGGAGTCTTCAACTGTATTTTAGTAGTCATTCAGTAAGTATTACAGAAAGCCTAGATGACATAAAGCATTTCAAAGTATGTTTAAGAAAATAATTGTGAAAGAAAAGAAAATGTAATATCTAATATATTACTACTACTATGGATTTTTTTTTGGGGGGGGGAATTTGAACTCAGGGCCTGGATGCTGTCCCTGAGCTTTTGTCCTCAAGGTTAGCATTCTACCACTTTGAACCATGGCTCCATTTCTGACTTTTTGGTAGTTAACTGGAGATAAAGTATACTGGACTTACCTCCTGCCCAGGTTGGCATCAAACCTTGGTCCTGAGCAGCTATTACTAGATTGTAGGCATGAGCCCCAAGCACCCAGCTACCATGGATTATTTTGAAAAAAGATTCAAAGATCTTTAAAGGTATGGATCCTTAGAATTCTCAGAATTTAGGACAGTTTTTTAAGAGAACACAATACAATAACAGCATCCAGCTATCCACAAATTATTTCTGTATAGATCAACACACATTTTGGTAAGTCGAATTCATTATCCATGTTATAAATTGATAAATAGTTGTCATGTTAAGCTCAAAACTTAAGTTTTAAAAGTGCTTCCCAACAGAACATTCAAATAGAAATAAGCATAAAGAACAATCAAGTAAGTTCAATAACTTGTGAAATTATTTATAAACTGGAAGCTTAAGTAGTATTAGCATATTGAAGACTCTCTAATTTTCTCTCAGGTCATTAGAAAATATAACTCTTGGATTATAGAAGATTCTGTTCCATATTCTAAGCCAATCAGTCCAACGCCAAAAAGAAGCAGTTATTCCTTCATTCATTCACCAGTATCTACAAAGTGCATACTTTATGCTAGACACTTGTTGAAGGTGCTGGTATAATGGTATTGAACAAATGTCTCTGTCTTTATGGGCTTTGCATTCTAATTATGAAACAGTGTTAATAAAATAAAATATTATTTATCAAATAGTAAGAATTCTGGAGGAAAATAAAACCAAGTTAAGAGGTATTGCTTTAGGGTAGATGCAGCAAGTGTTTTGAAATAAGGATGAGTTCCAAAAGGTCTTTTTAAGAGGACACTGGAAAACTACAAAAGTATGGGAGAATAAAGACTTCTGCGTGTCCCTGGAGTGAAAAGAGAGGAAGAACAACAGGAGATGATGCTACAAGGGCAGCAGGCACCACAAACTGAGGACATTTTAAACACTGGCTTTCATTCTGCAGAAGGTGGGAAACCACAGGAGAATTTTTAGCAAAAACATGACATATTCTAAATGATCACTCTGGGTGAGATGGGGGAGAATGAAGAAAGAGGTGACATTGAACAAGATGTATTATACTCACTAACTGACATGTTGAATTGAAACTCTTCTGTTCAACTACACAGGATAATAAAAAAATTATAAACTTTTAATAACAACCAAAAAAGATCACTCTCATGTTGGGAAACAACAGCAAGAAAGAAAAGACTAAACCACAGGTATCAGCTAGGATTTATCATGTTAATATGGAAGAAAGAAGGTGAAGTTTGAACCAGATTTATCACAATGAAAATCTTAAAACAGAAGTTAGATTATGGACACATTATGCTATATAGTCTGAAGGTACAGCAAACAAGATTTGGTGAAGGAATGTAAGAAACAGAACAGCCATGGATTTTAGTCTGAAAATGTATAATGGAGTTCCATTTACCAAAGTGAGAACTAGTATGTAGGACTTTTAAGAGTTAGAGATAGAAAAGAGTTCAAATCTTACACTTAACATGGCTACTTCACAACCAAATGGGTATGTGCTGAATAAGCAGCAGGATTATATAAAAGTATGCTGGTTCTGGAGAAAGTGATGGGCTAGTATATAAATTTAGAGTAATCAACACACAGTTATGAGACTGCATGAAATCAAGAGTATTGATAGCAAAGATATATATGAAGATCAAGCATCTGTGATGCATTAAAACATCTTAAAGGTTTGAAGTAGATAAAATTCAACAAAGATAACAAAAAAATGACCAGGGAGAAGGAAAGAACCAGGAAGATATCCTATACACTAACTAAGGTGTACATCATAAGTACAATGCTATCAAAATTCCATCTGATTTTTAACAGAAATTGACAATGTTTCTAAAGCTTACATACAAACACCAATCTGTGTGATACTGGTCATGTAATTATTTTTTTAGATATGTTACTAAAAGCATCATAAACTTTATAATAGTTTTTGTTCAAAATCTGCCAGTTAAAGAAGATAAACTACTAAGAGAATATGTGCAAAACATGTATCTGCATAAAGGACCACAAAAACTTCATAATAAAAAAAAGGAATCTTTTTTTCTTAAGTGAGCAAAAGTTGAACAGAAACAAAGAAAATAAGTACACAAAAATATGCTCAACATCTTTAGGGTAACAAATTCAAACCAAAATAAGCCACTACTAAATACTCAACTAAAATTAAAAGACTCACCACACTAAATGTTATAAAAATCATAGGTGAGTCGAAGCTTTTTGAAATGTTCGTTGGACTATGTAACTGCACTGAAAGTCAGTAAGCAGTTTTGTAAAGTTAAACAAGTATTAGGATTTGGCCACATTACCCTGTTAGCCCATTTGAAAGGAAAGCATTGCCCATTTACCAACACAAACAATACAAGTGTTCACAGTAGCTTTTTCCTAATAACCTCAAACTAGAAATATCTCATTAACAAATAAACTGTAATATATGCATACAATGATTTATCACTCCGTAACAAAAAAGAATAGAAAGCTGACTGTCAACAACTTAATTTGACAAGAACCATCTACATACTACCCCTAAGAGATCAAGAATGAGGCAAAGAGATTTGCCCTCACCTCTCCTTTTCAACATCTTACTCAACGTCCTCACTAATATATTAAGAAGATCACCATTTGGTGTTTATTAATTAGAAGAAGACAAATAATAATATCTTCTGAGCTAATATATTCACTTATACCAATATTACAGGATACAAACTTAATAGTACTTTCATCACTTTTCAAAATAATATTTATGAATGTATAGAATTTGAAAACATAGTATCACTTACACTGATACCTTAAAAATGAAATACCCAGGTATAAAGCCAGTAAAATACACACATACAAGACCTATCTGCAGAAAACTATAAAACTATGATGAGAAACAAAGAACTAAACAAATAGAGATATAGGTAACTCATGTTCATGAATAGGAAGACATAATACTGACAATCAGATGTCAGTTCTTCTTAAATTGGTATATGGATCCCATCAAGATCTCTGCAACTTTTATTGCAGACATTAACAAACTGATTCTAAAGTTTATATTGGGGAAAAGGAGAGGAAGGCAAAAGACTCAGAACTGGCACTATCTAACCTCAAGCTACACTATAAAGATACAATAATTAAGACATTGTGCATTGGCAAAACAATGACAGATTAGTAGAGGACCTAAAAGTAGATCCACACAAATACAGTCAATCTTTTATAAAGGGGTGAAGGTAATAAACACAACAGAAAAAAAAATATATTCACAAATGGTGTTAGATATCTGCATGCAAAGATATAAAGTTAGAAATAACTCTACACAAAAATAAACTTAAAATCTATCATTAAGCTTAAATATAACAGTCAACACTAAAAAACTGTTGAGGGGCTGGGAAGGTGGCTCAGTATAGAGTGCTTGCCTTGGATGCATGAGGCCCTGGGTTTAATTCCTTAGCACCACATAAGTAGAAAAAGCCGGAAGAGGCACTGTGGCTTGTGGTAGAGCGCTAGCCTTGAGCTGAAGAGCTGAGGGACAGTGCGCAGGCCCAGAGTTCAGGCCCCACGACCGACAAAAAATAAAATAAAATAAGAATAAAAAACTGATGAGACAAAATCTAAAAAACTACATGACAATGCGGATATGACAATGGCATGATATATAAAAGCAACAACTGAGGTTAAAATTAAATGTCATTAAAACTAAAACTTTCTGCTTTATAAAGTACATCCAAAAACTGGGAGAAAAAGTTCACAAAAAAATATATCTGATAACTTAACACATAGAAAGACCTCCTATAACTCAATAAACTTGTTTATTTTCTAATATACAAGTAGTGGCTGGGTACTTGCCAAACAAGTGGAAGGCCCTGAATTCAAACACAGTACTGCCCTCTCCCCACCCCCAAAAAGAACCTAAAGAAAAAGAAAATCATTTTTTTTTAATTTATGAAACACCTGAATAGACATCTCACAAAGAATATATAAAGATAAAAGAAGCATATGGAAAGATATTCAACACTCTCCATCACTAGGGAACTGCAAATTAAAACCATGTGATACCACTGCACACACCCAGTAGAATGACCAAACTGGGATCACTGAAGCACCAATTGCTAACAAGGTTTGGTACAACAGTAACATTCACGCCTAGCTGTGAGAGAGCAAAATGACTCATCTGCTTCTGAAGATAGTTGCACAGTTTCTTAAAAAAATAAAATAAAATAAAACATACTATTACCACATAAACTAGCAATTGCATTGGTATTTAACAAGTTAAAAACTTAGGTACAAACAGAAACATCTATGTAGATGTAAAATAGTAACTTCATTCACAACATCTAAAGCTTGCAATCAACCAATACATCTTTCAGTAGGTGAATGCATAAAATATGGTACAGCTAGACAATAGGTATTATTCAGAACTAAAATTAAATAGCTATCAAAGGACAAGACATGGAGAAAATTCAAATTCATAAAACTAAGTAAAAGAATCCAATTTGAATACATGTTATATAGCCTAGGACATTTTTGGGGAAAAAAACAAAACTTTTCAAAGAATTAAAAGATCAATGGTTAGCCGGGCGCTGGTGGCTCACGCCTGTAATCCTAGCTACTCAGGAGGCTGAGATCTGAGGATCGCGGTTCAAAGCCAGCCCGGGCAGGAAAGACCGTGAGACTCCTATCTCCAATAAACCACCAGAAAACCGGAAGTGGTGCTGTAGCTCAAGTGGTAGAGCGCTCGCCTTGAGCTGGAGAGCTGAGGGACAGCGCCAAGGCCCAGAGTTCAAGCCCCACGACCGACAAAAAAAAAAAAATCAATGGTTTTCAGTGGTTAAGCAGAAAGTAGGGATAAATAGGTAGAAGACCAAAAATTTGAGGACAGTGAAATTTATTCTGTTTGATATTCTAATGGTGAATACATGTCATTATACATTTGCTAAAACTCACCAATGTATGCCTCCCGAAGTCAGCCCTAATCTAATCTATGGATTATAATAATGAAGTATCAATTTAGGCTCCTCAATTATAACAAATTTACC